ATCTTTGAATCTGTTTCCCTTGAAACAAATTTCGTCTCCCTTGAGAAATTTTCTGTTGGAACTAAGTTTTGTTTCTCTTGAGATAGTTTCTCTTGAAACATAAACATTAAAAACATTTCCCTTGAAATGAATTTTGAGATAGGTTCCCTTGAAACAAAATTTTGTATCCCTTGAGACAGTTTCCCTTGAAACTTCAATATTTGAATACAGTTTCTCTTGAAACACAAAAAACCTTTGAAATTGTTTCTCTTGAAACACAAAAAAAAACCTTTGAAAATGTTTCTCTTGAAATACCAAACCCTCGAGTTTGATTACACTCAGCTTCGAGGGCACATCATTTACAGTATAACTCAAGGCTAGAAGGGTTATCTGTCACCAAAAAACCTTCGAGTTCGACTATTCTCAGCTCTAAGGCACATCATTTACAGCATAGCTCAAGGCAAGAAGGGTTATCTGTCAATAAAATTGTCGAGTTCGATTCTATTCAGCTCGATGACACCTCAATCACACTATTGTCCGGCTGTAATTGAGGTTTTCAAGACGAGAAGAAGGTATGGGTTAGCCGTGCCTTAGTATCAAGAAGCCTTTTTCCGTCAGCATAGCTTAAGTCGAGAAAAACTATCTTTCAGCAAAGACTTTTCGAGTTCGGTTTCATTCAGCTCAAGGGCATATCAACCACATTGTGGAGTCAAGAGATTACTTTCCAGTCGATTTTTTAGCCAAGGTCTTTAAATCGAGAAAAAGACCAGAGTGGACTACAACAAGAAGCCACATTCTGATTTAAATCATTTCAAGATGGACTCGACTTCGCGACGGAGGATTCATCCGTAATTCAATTCGACAAGTAGTTATTTTTCAACTCCACTGAACGAAAATTTGTGTCTTTTTATCTTTGTCCTATTTTTCGTTCCACGAAAAAGGACAAAAAAGGACAGCTGTAGACACCCATTTTCTTAAAAGATAGAACTAGCAAGAGTTTCTCTCCTAGAAGGACTCTTCCACCACCATATCTTTTAAAGTAACAACCACACCAATAAACGTGCAACAACCGAGCAAGGAGTCTAGTTGCATTAGGATTCTAAAAATAGTTAGTTTTTTCACTATACATACATGTAATCCTCCCCATTTGTAACACACGATTTACATACAAAATACAGAGGAAAGCACGGAAAATACAAAGGCAAAGCTATTGTAAACGATTCGAAAAGGAAATAAAAGGTAGCATTTTTTTTTTACTTTTGATTCGGTCTCTTACATTTACGTTTTAATTATTATTATTTTATTTATTTAACTTCATTTATACGCACATTTCCCTTGTTACTCATTTTATTTAATTGTTTTGTTATTTTTTTTCTTTTTTTTTCATGTAATATTTTTTTACATTTTATGCATTTTCATTTTTACTTTAGTATATATTTTTAATTTTTAGATTATATATATATATATATATTATTTTTTTATTATCAGTTTTATTAATTTATATATATATATATTATTTTTTTATTTTTCAATTTATTATATATATATATATATATATTTTTACTTTTTTATTATTATTTTATTTATTTGTTTTATTTATATATATTTTTTCTTCTTTTTCTTTATTTTTTATATTTATTTTACTTACTATTTTATCTTTACTTTTTTTATCTTATCTTTTATTTAATTTGTTTTTTCTTCATTTTAATTAATTAATTTATTTATTTATTTCTTACCTTTTTATCTAACATGATTTTTTGACCTTCTTAAGACCACACCTTTAAAACTATCTAAGGTAAGTAATTGTGATCGTATTTTTACCTTTTAATTTTAAATTACAATTTCTTAATTTAAGACAACCGACAAATTAATTGGTACCGAAAGGGTGGTTCAAGGGTGTTAATCCTTCCTTGACCGTAACCGACTCCCGAACCCGACGCATTTATGGTAAAAACGCATATCAGGTAAGATGGTGTCTGACCCACCTAAATTTGTTTTAAAGTGATCGGTGGCGACTCCCAACCCAATTATTTCAAGTCGAAGCCCAATTCGGGGCCCAACCAAAAGACGGTTACGAAAAATACATACTACAATTCGAATTTAAAATCCAAAACATGTAAAAATATAATATCCCAAAGAACCATATAAAAATATATAAAAAAAGCAACGGAAAATAAATAATATAAAGTCTAAAAACATTCATACAGTGTCTGAAAGGAAAACGTGCTACTAAACGATCCTCCAAGTACCAGTCATAGTCCTAAAAGTCAAAGGGATCTGAAAAAGAAAAAAATAGAAAGTGAGCTAATAAATTCAGTGTGTCTCCTAAATACAACATATATATATATATAACAGCATGCATAGATAATATGTAAATAGTAACATTAGAAATTAATCATCAGAATATAGCAACTACATTACATAATTTTACCTTTCACCGCGGATAAAACTGAATGGAAACGTTACCCTCTGAAGATATATCCAAATCAGAATACAGAAAATCAGGATGAAGATGTAACCCTGCGTAAAGAATCTAGTCAGAATTAGAATAAGGATATCACCCAATCGGGAACATAAGATAAAAAGGGAAATTTAATCTCACACATGCTTAAGTACAATTCTAATCAATCAATCAACACAACAAATGGGTTTAAGACGTCACATTGTCGCTTAAACAGTCATCAAATTTAAAATCTTTCTTTTTCATCGTAAACCAAAACATTATATGAATATTCCAAAATAGTTAAAAATATATTTATACAAAATTGAAATTTCGTGACAATTTAATATATAAATCAAAATAGCCAAATATCAATAGAGTTTACAAACTAGTAATACAAATTATGAGTATACATATAAGTGTTATACTTCGATGATATGTTGCTGAAAATCATGTTATGATAATACTTCTTGAACAAATTCAAGCTACAACCTGTAAACGAAAATATCTTAACGATGAGCTTTACAAAGTTCAATGGTACACTTCTACTCTATTGCACTACCTGCAATTTATAAATATAAGCGATACAATTGGTCGAATGAGGTGATGTGAGATTATGACTTTGTAAGTGACTTTTTTATATTCTTGATCATCATTATATGCTCTTTTTCTTCTTGTAATTGGAGAGGTTCCTTAATGAGGCATATGATGTTCTTGTATGTCCATTTTTCTTAAATAAAAATCATACATTGTTTAACCGTATATATATATATATATATATATATATATATATATAAAAGCATCCTAGACAATATAAGTAAAGAGGATCAAGTACAAGCATATAATATTATCAATAAAGTATCATACTAGTCAATGTCAATTTATAATCTACACGATTGTGTGCATCTAAATTGTATACATGCCTAATTTTTCACATGAATCTAATTTATGGGATTACTAATCATATAGAATGGAATATAATCATTATTGATATCTTAAATTGGAATAAATCTCATTTCTCTCTTATGTTTTATTTATCAACCTTCTCCAAAGGTTTAGTTGACATTTTTTTATAAAAAAATTATTTCTAACGTTATATGCAACCCGTGGACACAATTCTTTAATTTTAATATTTGTTTTATCACCCAATATCTTAAATAAATTATTGAAATATATATGTATATATATTTTTTTCTTATAATTAATTTATAACTGAATACAACGAGAAAAATAATGTAAATTCTTGGGTCCAAAATGCTTTTATTTTTTTGTTGTCCTTCTGGTTCCAAGACTTCATCCTAATTAATTCAAACCGACTCGCATTGCAAACTTGATTTTGATAGGTGAATCTCCCAAAGAGAATTTTTTTTTCATACACAAGATCTCGAACTTGTTTAAACGATATCAAACTACTTACTACTTAAACTAATCTCATTAGTAGTCCAAAATATTCTAAATTCCAATGGACTTGATTTTGATGATTCAAATCTTTAGCTCTATTGAATTTTCTTTACTTAAATTATATTATATTTTTAAATTTAATTTTTTAATTGATTTCTCCCTTTTCATTTCATAGATATAAAATAGGATAAAATATTAAAATTTCTAATCCAAGCTTAAAAACATTATTATTATTTAAATTTCATCCATATTTTAAATTTTAGAACCTATTACTAATGTGTTATGTATACTATTATATTTAATTCCATAACTGAGTATAGTCTGATCAATTAACCGGTCATCAATTCAATTAGAAAATGACAAATACATGTATGTTTAAGTCTAGTGCATATTATTTTATGGGTATTTTTATCTTTCATATTTTATAAATCGTTAAATAAAATAAGTACAATATATTATGAATAAACTTTCTACTACTCCACTAATAATAAATTGTTAATTTAATTGTCAAATATATTTTTTTCATAAAATAGTTTTTCTTCTTGTAATAATGCATATTTCTAAAATGGTTAACTAAATTTGGTGTCTTAAACTGAAAAGGTACGAAAAAAATCAATATGTAAAATCTAGGGCTGATGACTATCAATATGAAATTTGTTCTCACTGTGCTGGATTCTTACAAGAGCTGCTACCTCAATATTTGTAAAAACCTTGAAAAGACAAGCATACACATTACACCAACAATGGAAATGGTTTCAGAATTATAAAAAGATAAAAAAAGGGGGAGAGATTGCATACCAAGAGATCTGATTTCTATTCATTTCAACTCCGGAGACGTAAAAACACTGATCATTGGCCATAATGAGGAGGCTGACCTGGAGCTGGGGCACCACCAGGACTTACAGTTGTTCCTGACGGCGGCATTCTCATGGAAGACGCAACAAGTTGGGAATGGGGTGATGAGCCAGCAGGTGGTGCAGCATTCATGTATGAAGGGACTGCAGACGTTTGATATTCTTGACCAGGAACACTTCCGGCCACGGATCCATATGGTGGCCTAGCCTGTAAACTTGGATCCCAAGCTGGAATTTGTCCCACAGAGGGTTGAGCTTGAATTGCGGCTGAAGCGGCATAGTCAGTCCCAGAGTACAGTGGAGCACTCTGAGGATTCTGCCAAACATTTGAAGAGGCAGACATTCCTGGAACATGCGTCGCGAGCAAACTTAGGTCTGAGACCATGTAATCTCTACTTTTTTCACTATAAGCCTGTGTGGCAAAAGAGAAACTAATCAAGAATCACATGTAGTGAATGTGTGTCAAGCCAAGCAATAGAACAATAGTTTAGCAGGTAAGGATCGGAACCAAGTGTCAAGAAGCATACATTTAAAAGGTTCATATCCTCCCTTTTTTGGATCAATGGATCGCCTTTATCGTCTAATGATGTCGTTAATTTATTTTTCTTCTTTCCTTTTCTTATGAACACTAACTCAAAACCACATATATATATATATATACCTTTATATTGAGATCAGTATGACGAGAGTAAGATAGATGAAGCTTACAATAGCCACCATCATATATGCAGTGTCCCTCTAAGGATTCTTTGGCAACAGCTGCGGACGTGACATCCGAATGTAACCAATCATACGTCAGTAAAGCCAACCATAATATCTAACAAAATAGAACATGCAATGCAACAACAACAAAAATAATAATAATAATAATAATTTGCAGGTTGTAAGATGTCCGAGAGTCCCTGGGGAACAGACTCAGAGACTGACAATTGAGAAGGAAAAAGAAATATTTATATCCATCAATCACTCAGAAATGGAACAAATTTCGAAATATAGCAATGTGAAGGGAAATATGATATAGTTCTATATAATAAAATAGATACACATACAAAAAGAAGAAAAGAGAACAAAATATTTGCATCAGACCTAAAATTACATAGTAAACTAGATCTGACTTGCTTTTTTTATTCTAGTCCCAGCAACCAGATTCATCACTTAAGTGTGCTTGGTCAGTTGGTTGAATGGAAAAGTGAAAGGATGAAACAAGAGAATGGAAAATCGAATATAAAATATCTTCTTAGTGTGTTTGGAAGGAAAGGAAAGTCGGAGGAAATAAAATAAGAGAAATGACCATTTTCCATCCTAATGCATAAAAACAAATCAATACAAATTGGAAAATTATGCATTTTCTTTCCCCTCTACCAAACAAAGCTTTACAGAAGCTTCGCTGTGTTGAAAACTTATTGCTACAACTGACAGCAACTCCAAAACAAACTAAGAATTAAAAAAAATGCATTGAAACAAGACAAATGATCACTCAAGTGAGGTATGCCTTTTGGATCCGTCTTTCAGGAAAAAAATGCCCAAGTATGGCACAATGTGTGTGTGTGTGTGTGCGCGCGCTCGCGCGGGTGCATATACATGTATCTGTGTCTGTGTGCATGCATGTGTGTGTGACTCTGTATGTGAATGTATCTATACAGAATATGATTAAGATATATACTCTAATTTGAGGTCCACTTCAATCCAACAGAACATGCAGAATTTTTCTTTTTTTGGTCAATATTCACAAGTTGTCCATGACCACAAGTTTCCCGCTCCGTCACTGTTCCACCATGTTTCGCGCCGCTTAAGACGTCCAGAGACATCAACTTTCCCGGAAAATTATTTCTCTGGTTCTTTTCATTTCAAAACACAGCAGACCGGAATCTCAGAAACATCTTAGCCCTCAGCTTTTGCTATCTTTGGGACTTTCAAGTCAGTTACTGGGGGAAAACAGTGTACTGTCCTGATTTCAAGGCGTCTATTTTTCAATATTTTAACCAGATTCATCGTCTTCTGCTCTCAATCTGTTCGTTGGTGTCAAACTGGTTTTGTTCACCGTATAGTTACAGCTGCAAATTGATTTGCCGATCGGAGCTGCAGTCAGCCATAGAATAGCCAATAAATCTGATGTTTTTTCGCCGCACAGTTACTGCATTTTAATTCCTCATTGCTGTCCGATCATAATCTGTCTGAATCGGCAGTCCATTGCAGCCGGTTTCGTTGTCCGATTTTATTGTTGGTGGTTGGCTGCACATAGGATATCTTGGCTGGTGATTGTTCCGTGGGTGGTGCATTAATCAAAGTTTTGGTTGCTGTTTTTTAATATGAGTGAGCAGAATAGAGAAAGAGCGATATGGCGTATGAAAAGTCGCTCTTCCTCTGGTGAAGAATGGACAATTTTCGTCAACAACCTATCCAAGAGAGTAACTAGAAGAGAAGTAAGGGATCTGTTCCTATGTCATGGTCCTGTTGTTAGGATCTTTATCCCGAATATCTTGAATAAACCAAGGTATAAAACTGCCACATTTGTGTTCGTCCAGTTTGCAACTGAAAATGGTATGAGGAATGCCATTGAGAAAACCAATGGTTCCTGGATTGCTGGTTTGAGGGTATCTGTGGGGGTCGCCAAATATCAGAGAAACAAAAAGGCGGTAGAGGTTAAGGGAAATGTTTATGGGATTGCAGAGAAGACCGGTGGTGGCGCATTAGGAAATTCGAGGAAGGGACGAGAGTATTCTGGAAGCTTCAGAGATGATAGATCGTACAAAGAGGTTTTAGTACCGAACAATCAAACGAGGGGAAACGGAGTTGCGAAAGAGCCCTATAATGTTTTCATTCCGGTGGAGGAGAGAAAATGGCTAAAGTGGCGATGACAGGTATTCATAAACAATCGTACAACGTGGAATTAATTCAAAGAGCGTTGCAAAGTGAAGGTATTGTCGCTAATGTTGCGAAATGGGGTACGCCAGGAATTATTGTCTAGTTACTTTTCTGTCGGAGGAGGACAAGTTGAAGGCCCTGAGTGATAAATCCTTGGAGCTTAATTACTGGTTCGACTGGTTGAGACCAGTGTTATCGGAAGGAGGAGGCCCTTTGGCCTTTTGTGAAGTCTCGCTAATCGGAGTTCCTCTTAATTGCTGGAATGAGGTCTTCTTTTCAAGCCTGGCATCACGGTGGGGGGAGTTAGTAGAGATTAGGAAGAAAACCTTGATGAAGTTGGATTGTACAACAACGAAGATGGTGATTCGAGTGGGCAGTCCGTTTGATCTTCCGGAGTCAATTTCAATAAACACCAATGGCAGGTTATATGTTATAAAGGTCAAAGTTGAGCTATCGACTGATGGATATTCAGAGGTAACGAATGATGAGAGCCATGGAGAATTTTCTGATGAATGGGTTGAAGAAGCACCAGAGAATCAATGCGATGTTGAGGGGATATTGAGGGATGAAGTTGCCCAAGAGGTTGGAATGATGAACAAGGCGAGTTCGGTTCCGTGTGATCCAGATTTGAGGACAGGTGGCGTCCTTGCTTCTGCTTCCGGAATTATTGAGGAATTGGTTCCAAGATATCTAAATTCGGTGGAGATGGATTCTACTAAGCAAGACATTTGTGTAAGCCTAATGATGCAGAAAATGTCGTGTTCAAATAAGGAGAATAACGAGCAGGTTCGTGATAGTGAGATTGGGTCTATCAGACATAATTCTCCAAATAAAAATACTTCCAATTTAAGGATTGCTCCAGGATTCATTTAAGGAGGTTCGATTCAGCTTGATGCTCGTAGGAAAATCAGTTTAGTGGGCTCTCCTTCAAATCGTGGTCGCTCGATAGAAAGGAAGGCGTCAAGCAGCAGAATCGGAAATAAAATTTACAAGAGAGTATATAGTAGAAGCAGGGGAAGGAGCAATTCGAGAAAGATGAGGAAGGAAAAAACAAAGTCATAAGGGCATTGTTCGGATGAGGATGAAGAAGCTCGAGCTACTTAGGAAGTAAGCAAATTGATGGGTGTTACGTTCCGAGGAGGAAAAAAAGTTTTCATGGAAAAGGCGAAGGCAGTGACTGAGGAAAAGACAATGGCATATGGACTCTGATGTTCTGTAGGAAGTGGGTGTTTGTTCCGTTCTTTTTATGTCAAATTTTAGTATAATATCGTGGAATGTGCGGGGGTTAGGCAGGAAAGAAAAGTCTAGGGCTGTGAGGAATATTATCTTACAAAAGAGACCAACGCTAATGTTCATACAAGAAATGAAGCTAGAGAGTATCATTCCTTCCTTAAGGAGGAGGTTGGGTGGAAATCTTTTGAATGGCTTTGTAAAATCACCGGCAGTCGAATCATCAGGAGGATTGTTAACGCTTTGGGATGAAAGAGGACATCATGAAGTTTTTTGTGATTTCTTTGTCGGGAAAAGTTGGGATAAAGGGGTAAATCATTCTTTCGTTACCTTAATCCCGAAAAAATCGAATTCGGAAACCGTCAAGGATTTTAGACCAATAAGTATGGTGGGTGGACTGTACAAGATCTTGTCAAAGGTGTTATCCAGAAGATTAAGTCAATGTATGGATGCAGTAGTTGGCCCTTCCCAATTTGCTTTCATTCCGGGTCGGCAAATCACAGATTGTTCCTTTATCGCGAATGAGGGAATTGACTATTTGAGGAGGAAAGGTCTTCAAGGAGTAGCGTTTAAGGTTGACTTCAGAAGAGCATATGACTCAATCGATTGGAATTTGCTATTGAAATTAGTGGATTGCATGGGGTTTGGTCAGAGATGGAGATCTTGGATGAAAATGTGTTTCTATGGCTTCCATTTCGGTGTTAGTGAATGGTTCTCCTTCAAATGAATTTCGGATTGCGAGGGGTCTTCGTCAGGGTTGCTCTCTTTCCCCGCTCCTTTTCAATTTGGTTGTCGAACTGTTGAGCTAGATGTTGTCGAAAGCTGTGAGGTTAGGTTTGTTTAGAGGATTTGAGATTGGGAGTCTGGGAGATTCTTTTCAGCTCTCTCATCTTCAATTCGCAGATGATTTGTCAATTTTTTGTAATGAGTCTATTGGGGAACTGAAAAATATGAGAAGGGTGCTTCTGATTTTTGAGTTGATGTCAGGATTGAAGATTAATCTTTCAAAGAGCGGGTTATTCGATATCAACGTGGAAGACGAGGTTATTTCTGAGTGGGCTGTTGCAATAGGGTGCATAGTGGGTTCTTTTCCAACGGAAAACTTGGGTCTTCCACTTGGGCCAAAGAAAAACTCAATTACTCTATGGGATCCGATAATTCAAAAAGTTTTACAAAAAATTGTCCGCGTGGAAATCTGTCTCCCTATCCATCGTTGGTAGAGTGGTGTTGATTAAGTCGATTCTTTGCTCCTTACCAATATACTTCATGTCGATTTTTAGATTACCAAGGTGTGTTTTGAAGAGGCTCAACTCAATTATGGCAAATTTTCTTTGGGGGAATTCGGGTATTAAAAACAAAATTCATTGGGTTAATTGGGAAATTGCTTGCAAGCCTAAGGAGTTGGGAGGGATTGGGGTTCCAAATCTTGAGCTTATGAATAGAACTTTATTAAGAAAATGGACCTGGAAGTTTGCTAACGATAAAAACTCTTGGTGGAAAAGGATAATTTGTTGCAAAAACAATATTAATCCAAATACTATGGGGGTTGATAGTTCGGCCTCTTACAAAGCTTCTTGGATATGGAAAGGGGTTGTGAAGAATTGTTGCTCCGATGATGAGTTTGGGGAATGTTTGCGAAGTAACTTTCTGCTGAAGGCGGGAAATGGGGAATCAATAAGGTTCTGGCATGACGCTTGGTTGGATGGAGTTTTTTTGAGGGTACGTTTTCCTCGATTGTTCGCATTATCAATCAACAAGGAGGGGAAGATCGCCGATTTCAGGAAAAATAATTCGACAGGCTGTTTCTGGGATATTGCCATAAAGAGAAATCTTGCCGATTGGGAGTTGATGCAATGGAACGAGCTTATGGCATTATTGTATAATTTAAATCCTTCGTCATCAATGGATGATACTCTTGTATGGGCCGGAGAAGGAGATGGGAGGTTTTCAGTGAAATCTTGTCTTGAATTTTTTTTGGAACCTCTTTCGATAGTTTTCACTGGAAAAGAACCGTCTCTGAGCCGGTGTAGCTCCTCCTAGGGTTGAATATTTTATTTGGCAAGTGGTGCACAAGAAGATTGCGGTCAATGTAGAGTTAATAAAACGTGGGGTGCAAGGTATAGAAGATCCGTATTGTCCGTTCTGTGGGTTGGTTCAAGAAACGGTTTCTCATCTATTCTTTTCTTGCAAAGTGTCTTGGGGGTTATGGACTAGCTTCTTGCGTCGGTGGGATGTTTCCTTTGCAATTCCAGAGTGCCCTGTGGCCTTATTTTCAGTTTGGTTTGATCTTGTGCCACGTTCATGCGTTTGGACCTTCATTCCAGGAGCGGTTTTGTGGTCAATTTGGAAAATGAGGAATGATATTATTTTTAATAATGGGAAATTATATTTCACTTTGTTATCTTTTCTATCAAGGTATAGAGTAGCATCATGGTTTTCTTCAAAATTTCCCAAATTGATGGTCTCTTTTGATAGTCTTGTGGGGGATCAGTTGCTAGTTGATCGTGTTAAGTTCGACGAAAAGATATCGCAAAAGGTAGTCAGTTGGTCTCCTCCACCTACGGGTTTTGTTAAACTGAATGTAGATGGTGCTATGGACAGATAGTGGTCTAAGGGAGGAATTGGTGGACTTATAAGAGACGAGAAAGGAGTGATGTTGGTTTCATTCTCAGAACAAGTTGGATCCGGTCCTCCTATTATGGCAGAATTGATGGCAGTGAAGAGAGGTTTGAATCTGTTCTTGGATTCGGATTTGTCGATTAATCAAAGGATTATTTTGGAGTCCGATAGTGCAGTGGCAGTGGAATGGATAAAAAATCCAGCTATCTCCACTCCGATGTTTCTATCCATTGTTAAAGATATTGCAAACATCGTGGTCAATAAAGGGGTCATTGTCCGTCATGTAGCCAGAGTAGCAAATTGTGAAGCGAATAAACTTGCCAAACAAGGGATTGGTTAAATGATGGGGAATTAATTGGGTGGTTGTTTTTCAATTTTTGGTTTTTCGGGAACATTAGGGAATGATTTTTGTTTGTAATTGGTTGATCATCATATGAGTTGGTTTTGTTGTAGGGTATAAACATATTCATGTAGGTACTGCTGTTTTGCAATGGGTTAAGTGGGCTGCCATCGTTCTTGGGTGGTAGTATGATCTTATTGTACTTGCTTCTTATGCAATAAAATTTCTAAGGCACTTTTTTCCTCTTTCCAATGTCCGATGAGTCTTTGTTGCTTGACGGTTATGAAGGGGTTTTTTAACGAGGCCTTCATTTTTATAAAAAAAAAAACATTAGAATACTCAAACGATGTTGCATGGACTAACGTTCAGGTATCAATAGGAGTTTAAAGGGTTATACTAATAATTTTCTCAAAATTTTGAGCATGAGTCATCTAAAAAGTGCCTGAAATGGGAAATGGAAATTTCACATAAGTATATGCACACAAATTCTCTTCCTTCTAAAAATTGGTCTTATAGAAAATTTCAATTGGCTACTTTTGTTACTAGGCTACAATGCCGCAGAAGCAAAGAAAGCTAGCTTGCATCAATGGTGATGCACAACATCAATCCTTAGCTTTGGTTTTTAAAGAACTTTTGTACAAAAAGGTGGTTGTGCAATAAGTAGGGAGTTATTATTATACCCCTTTTTTTTTACAATTAAAAGTACAATTAATGGGAAAAAACACACGCACAAAAATGAAGCCAACAGGACATCAGTCAGGCAAGCTTTCTTTGATCCTATCACCTTACATAAAAAGTAGCCTAGGTGAACCAAGCATGTGCCAAATCAAATGTGTTGTTCCTGACGAGGCCTAAGGCACTTGTGTCACCTGGCACTAAGCCTTAGCACCAAAGTACACACCTCGACAACACTGCCAAAAAGATACATAAAACAATTAAAAATTCATATGATAAAAAGAATACCAGGATATTGAATTAGTGCCTGTGTTCCACCATTCTTCTCGAATATAGCAATCTTTTGGACCGCACCAAATGCAGAGAATACCTACAATAAGCAACCAGTAGAGTAATATGTGAGCATCTTGAAACAATTAACCAGTATTTCCATGTCAATTAAGTAGCAGTGCAGCAGAATCTCTTACGTGTGAAGAACATCTACTGTCACAGCATACTGCATATTTTCAATTGAAGCAAGTAGCACATTGCTCTGAGGTTCTTGCTTTTTTCCATCTGGACCAACTGCAGGCTGGAGATTACAACATATTAGTGACAGTCGCTATTGAAAAATAGCTCAAATATTTGTAAATGAAAGCACTACCTGCATAAGCCCCTCCATTGCAGTCGGATTGACAGGAAGGTATGGATTGGTATAATCCCTACAAAATGCTCAAACACAACCAGAAAATTTAATGTAATTGTTACAAATAAAGTAGAAATGCATAACCCAATTTGAATAGAAATTGTCATTTGATCAAGATAGAAGCAATAAGGGTAACAAAGTGATGCTATTGCAAATGAATATACAAAATGAGAATGAATTGTGGGCTCCAATCCATCAGCATCCTGACTAACAGCAATTGCAGATCAAGAAAATATGAGCATCCAGTTGATTTGAATTATATTTTTTTTTATACACTCCAGTTGATTTGAATTATATAACAAAGAGAAACAAAAGCTTTCAAACTAATATCAATTGAAGACTATAGTCTAATTGCAACCGACTGTCTGGATGCTACCGTTGATCTTGGCCAAGGGAAAGTGAGAATTAATTCCATATGTGGACTAAGAGAAGCTAGACCAATCATATTTTTATGAAGTGCTACTCAAATTATAACACCATAAATTGATCAGAAATAAATTTTACAAATTGCCCTTTCCGTCCACAATGAACTTACTTCTCATGCCAGTTAACATTATGCTCACCATCATAGTTGATGACTTCAAAATACTATAAAATACCAGCTAATAGAATAAATAAATTTGCAAACCCAAAGCAGTTGTTTGAAGTGTCAACCCCAAATACAAAGTTCCCAATGGTGAACACTAAATAAGCTTAAAAGCAATATTTAAACCTGAAATCAGACTAATGTTACCACAGTAGCATGTTAGAGGATATGTGTTACAGTCCATTATTGAAAACATATATGTATAAAGGGTGACTACCACTCATGGCACCACCAAAAGGCAATTCCTCAATCAACATAAAAAACAACTTCAACTAAGATGAGATCTGCTTATGTATTGAACTGTTTTCAAAAGTTAAGAAAATTATTAGACAACACATCTGTGTGCTGTCTACGAGGCTTCACTAACACCCTAGATGACAAAAAAGCACACACATTAATTGGCAACATATCAGATGCCACAATAAAAGTTAAGCAGTCACATTACTTGAAATTTCAGAAATAAAAATGACCAAAACATTGAATTTCAATAGAAAACAACTCGGTATTCATTGGTCCACTTTTACCTGCTCCGATGAGACTGAAACTTGATATTCAGATCAGTGTTCGCAGAATACGAGATCCGCAGGTGACAAGAAGTAACATGATCCGGAAGCAAGTACCTTAAATAATATCATGAAAAAAGCATTAGAATGAAACCACATTTTTATTCAATTCCCAAACCATATATGTATAAGAGAATTAAGTGATGCTAGAGAAATGACAAAAATGAGTGTGCTGGTATGGGAGGAGGAAGAAGAGGAAAGGAAGCAGTACATACCTGGGAATACTTCTACCATCCAAGGCATCCCTCGCTGAAGAAGCAGTTTCAGCATCAGTGAATTGGATTAATGCCTGCCAACCATTGTCATAAAAATGAACATCATATTGGAAGATATGCAATCTACACAGATCCAAAAGAAAAACTAAATGCAATTTTGACATCTCACCTGGAAGCTAGCAGCCTTTTCAAAAGTAGCAATTTTGTGAACAAAACCAAATGCAGAAAATACCTGAAACAAAATTAAATTAGAAACAATTATATGTCAAAAATACAAATGAGAAAGAACATTAGAAACCGTCACAAACATGGGTATAATGTAAAAAAACTTTGTTAGCAAATCTAAATGGATGAGAAATAAGTGCAGAATGACACCTGTGCATACATTCCTCAAGATAGACCTTAGAAAGGAGTATGACATACATGATTATATTTCCAAACGGTCTCCAACAAAGGAATCTAAATAAGGGGCATAGCCATCTGTGATTCAACTGATTTCAATCAAAAACTGCTATCTCTATATATGTAAAAGAACAAGAAAAGATGAGTGTAATTCATTTCATATATATGGGATATGGTCCTGCGTTCTCTAATTGAAAAGCACATTCCTTAAAAGACAGGGTTTAAGAACATCATCATTCATCATCCGAATAAGCAATAACACAAGGCAATAAGAGTGGTACTTAGCGTATGGTAGTGCACAAGACTTTGGCCGAACTAAAGTAGGCCTCTTCTAGAGGCACAAATACAAGACATCTTCATTTAATCATACAAATACGCTCCTTAATTTGGGGCACCTTAAGCGTGGAGAGAGTTTTAAAATTTTAGACATTTCTTTTAGTGGCAAGTTAACAGAGCATCTGCAAGAATTGAAGGCATTTAGTTGAAGAAATGCAGAACCCAGTAATAAGAACTTACCAAGTGAATTGTCTCAATGATCACATCATTAGCTTCCACGCCTTCAATGGTAACAAGCAACACATTTCCTGGGGTATCTCCAGGACTCTTGTTGTTGACAATTTCATGTCTGTTTGAATATTGAATATAAACAGTTTTTCCACGAACCTGTGCTGGCTCTGATGATGAAGCATAGTATGAAACCATCGAAATAGCCTGATTTAAGTCTACCTGAAAATAAAAGTAACATCATTGAGTAACAGAAAAACATCACTGCTCAACCTGTAAATATTATCTAAATTTCACTATATGAATTAGCCCATTAAAATTTAAACAAAACAAAAGAAGAATAGAACCCAAACGATAAATTACCATTGACCCAAAAAATCCAAAATCCAACCCGATTGGTGATCAAGTTGACACATGGAAATTACACTTCCAAATGTGAACAAAAACAAATATATTTAATATTTTTCAGTGAGTACTTCACTTATTAACCTTAATCCAACACGGAGATAAAAAAGCACCAGTTCCCACCAGCTCAATACACCACAATATTAAAAAGAACAAAAAAGAAAAACCGAAAATAACACTCTGGAATTCAGAAATTAATCCATCAAATTTACATAGCACAATATCTATAAAAATCAGCAAAAATAAAATCAGATTTTCACCATGCCAAACTAAGAAAACAAGACTCACAAAAAAGAACTCATGCTTTGACAATTTTAAGATACACATTGAAATTTACACTAGAAAATTGAATTACCAAAAGAGTAAACAATCGATAGTTGATTGCCCTTACGTAACACAAACTGAACTTCTTCATTTTTCCCAACGCAAAGCAATCCATAAACTATAACTTGAAAAAAATCGATGGAATTAGAAGCTTACAAATTCAACAAAAGTTTGGTTCCTATTGGCGCCAACATTGCACTTAGTGTTAACGATCTTCCCAAAGGGTCTACAAAGTTCAACGATTTCCTCTTCCGTACACTCCCATGGGAGATTACGGAGATGCAAGACCTTCGACGGCGTCTGGGTATAACGGAATTGGGGTTGGCTTGACGTTGACATCTAGGGTTTCTGAAAGGAGGAGGAAAGGTATTTGGTTCGATAGAAAATACGGGAATTTTCTCGGGAAAATTCTTAGTATTCTTCAGCGATGAGGATATTTGATTTCGTCAGTTTTGGGGGTTTTGTGATGCTGGAATATTTATGGTTCAAATGTGAGAGCATGTGCCAATCAATTTACTACGTTGCCCTGGTTTGTCATTCTTAGCTAGGGAGGGGCATTAGTCGGGTTGAGGGGGGTTTTTTAAATTGGGTTTTTGATGAATTTGATATAATCTGAAAATTTTATATCTTTTATTCGAAATTTAATTTGGCCCGAGTTTAAAGTAAATTTCAATCAACTCAAAATTTGATCCAACTTTTAATATAAAATTCGATTTTGAGTTGATTTGATCTGAAAAAATATAAAATTATTAATTTTATTCTATAAAATAGGAATTTAATTTAAAATAAATAATATAAAGAGGGGTATTATTATAATTATTTCTAAATATATAAGGTATAATTATATTAGTTTTCAGTGTTGCTCTCAAACTAGTGTTGAGGGAAATAGGGATTTAATTTAAAATAAATAATATAAAGAGGGGTATTATTATAATTATCTCTAAATATATAAGGTATAATTATATTAGTTTTCAGTGTTGCTCTCAACCTAGTGTTGGAGGTAGCCTACTATCTTTCCTCCCCCTTACCCCATTACATATGGGAACAAGGGACAACCATTTTTTTATATTAGTTTTCAGTCATATCGAATATTTCTCATCTTAAACCCGTCAAGTTCGAGTGTCGTGTCCATTTCTATTCTTAGCTCTTTTCCAATTATAATTAAAATTTTTAAATATGTATAAACGATAATAAACGGGAAAATGGAAAAATAAAAAATAAGGAAAGATTGATCCAGAGTTCAAATAGCCCCTAAATTCATCGACTATGGTACGTCAATAATTTTGTTCATTTTTTTATTTTTAGGATTAAATTAGACAATCAAAACTAAATAAAATATTAGATTATAGATATCAAGTTTACTGGTCAAAATTTAATCGCAAATAAATTAGGGTTATAAAAGACTCAGGGGTTGTTTGTTTACTTCAGAATAATTAAGCGTTGAATGATTCAAATGCTGAATAATTTAGAAGCTCTGTATGAATTAGCTCTGAATGTGACATGTTGTTTGATAATGGATTTGAATGATTCAGAATGTACTTCTTTGTTGAATCATTAAACATTGTTTTGCTGAATTAGTCAGCACTGAATCATTCAGAGGTGCAAAACAAACGCGCTGAATGTTGAACGGTTCATCATTCAGCACTGAATGGTTCCATTCACTAGTAGAAAAAACCTCTTTAATGACGCGCATTGCGCGTCATCTATGGGTGCAGATGACACACATTTGCCTGTCGTTGAAGCCACCGACATGAATTTAAGATGACGCGCAATTGTGCGTCATAAATTTATGACGCGTATTTATGACACACATTTATGACGCGCATTTATGACGTTCATTGAGCGTCATTGAAGCCCCCGTCATAAATTAAGATGACACACATTTGTGTGTCAAAAATTTGTAACACACATGTTTGACTTACATTGCGTGTCATTGAAGCACACCCCATTAAAAAAGATGACACAAATTCGTGTGTCGTGATTGTATTTTGTAAATTATTGTTATATATATTGTAGATTGACAAATAATCAAACGAAATCACATTTAATGCCTCATAATACTAAATATATATATCATATTATATATAAGCAATCCATTTACATACAATATATTCACATTAAGTTACAAACATAATATCCAGCACCTATGGCTATTTGAAAACAAAAAACCAAGAATGTTCTCAGATTATCACAAGAAGATACTAACAGATTATAAGATCTTATATGCAACTCCTCTAGCTTCTTCTGTAATTTTGAAGTTGCTTCTTCAGAGTCGAGAACTCTTGAAACAGGCTGCGAATGAGCATTGACTTCAATTAAACTAGTAGGAACATCAGATGCACCAGCTGTTCCCGAACCCTTCCCAAAATTATAGCACAAAATCCATTATACCTGCAGGTTTCTTTGATTTGGATCCAATAAATCTGTTATTTGCTCATTGTATATCTACAAAAGAAAATTGAAAATGAAGTGATAAGGAACAAGAATAATACAACGCTAAGTAGTCCAATTATGTCAAAACTAAGAATCAAAATAATTCAATTTTGTTTATCAGCATGCTTAATTCACAACTTCTAAACAGGAAATATAGTACAACTCAAATACCCACCTTGGCACATAGAACTCTAATTACAATCCCTCTAAGGTGGGAAAGACGGATAATAATGCATAAAGTATGGAAACATGAATTACTCAATCGCACTGATTTAGCAAATTAGATTACTAAATTACATACCGATCAGTTGGTAACCACAGAAGTCACATATAAGTTAAATGTCCTCGGGAATAGACTATTAATAGTAATTTAACTTTGAAATTGGCTTGCGATGCTATATGCATGAAAAATAGAATACAAAAAGGATATTATAAAGGCAAAAAACAAGAAATTCATAGATCAGTTAAAAGCATAACAGCAGAGTCCCAAACAAAGGGAACTAATTAACAACATAGAAAATATTAGGAACAAAAGGCATATTGACAGTGGAACTTACATTTTATTAAAGAACGTTTCCAATAATACTGAGAATTAAGCTTATTGATTACAAATAATAATGCATTAATGCTTACCTTTGGGACAGGAACTTCCCATGTTGCCACTGCCTTCAAGTCTAAAAATAAAATTAACAACAACAAAATTCAATTCTATAAAACAATTACACTAACTTTCATCATCATGGGTAGTCAAATTACATGCATTCCATCTTCAAGAGAAACGTTAAACTATATGCTTATATTTACCCGCAATTCAGTTGCTCTATACAAGATTGTTTCTCTCAATTCCAGTATCTCATCATCGGTAAACCATAACGGATTCCCAAAAGTGGTGGGAAGCATATCAAGATACCTGAACCAGTCTTTAAATCCACATAAATAATAAATAAAAGAAAACTAAAAGAAAACAATCAAATATGTTAAGTACATACGGTTTCCACGAAGAATTCTTTCGGAGATGTTCCACAGTAAGAAGTCTTTAAATCCGTTGTTCGTTGAACGAGAGGGAATTGAAATGTAAAGGGTTGGAGTAAAATTAAGTTCGGTTCGGTAACGGATAATCCTGTAAAATATTACCTGGCACTGCAAATCAACAATCTTCACCTGCTACCACTTCGATATATCTAAGCAATTTTCGGCTTCACGACAAAGATTTTATTTTGCACACAATATTTTAAACTAATATGCCCTTACCATCCGGGCGTGTACACAAGAAATCAGTGGATCGACCGAGAAGCTCCTACAAAGAAGAAAAAAAATACTTGCTTCATATATATGATAATAGTTGGCAGAATCAAAGAAAATGGTAAGTACAAACAAGAAGCATCCATCAACTAATACAAAACACAAAGCAGAAGATACTGTAGGGAAAGCGTGACCTGTTTCTACAAGTGCTGGGATCAGAGACTTTACAATTCCTCTAGGATAAGGCTCCTTAACTGTTGCATTCCCAAATTTCCCAGCACCATTTTCCATGGCTTCTTGTTTACTTCTTTTTTCACTTCTAGCCGATTAAGACCACATTGTCTCTGTGAAACGTATTAGGTCAAATCAGCATTTAAGAATGTTAATTGAAAACTAACACCTAAGATTTACAATGAGAATATCAAGATGGGATAAAAAGACAAGAAAACTAATCTTTTATTTCTTTCAATTCTGAATTTTTTAACACCCAAAAGTAGAACCTTCAACATTAATCAGTTAATTTAGAGCTCTAAAGAAAGCCGTAATAGTGCAAATTGTAATGGAGGTAGTAACTTAACTCTTTGGAGAGTTTCTGAGAATGAACACTAACCAGATATTGCCCCTAATAAAATTATCAAAATTAGGAGTATAGAATTGTGAAACCAACTAGCTTATTGAGAAAATCACGAAACAATGTCAAAACAAGCCTTTCTTGCTCTGCATAGACCTCTGTGCACTCATGGCCATTAGATGATTTCTGAGTGACATTTCGAGAATGATTTATCAATAAATTAGGTGACTTCACTTCCATAAACATTGTGTCTTCTTCATCACACATCAATGCACGTGTTCCAGGAGACAAAGGCCTTCCATTCTGCACATCATTCTCATCTACTCCAGAGTTGCCACTTCCATCTGTATCTCCATGGTTCTCACTCTTAAGGTCACCAGTGGCAGTACTTGGAACATCATAACCTTCGTGACTCGTTTCATGCAAGTGACCAGATGAAACTGTAGTTTCAATAGAGCCTCCCTCTGTTTGTTGATCATTTTTGCTACTTTTCTCTGGAAATTGCAAGTTTCACATTAGTATTACTATATGCCATCTTCAAGACTTCAACAGTACAAAAAGTATAAAATTGTGAATTTGTGCATAAGCCCAATGTGAATCAAGCATGCAATTAGGTAAAGACCTAGATTACAAGATCTACAAATCATGGAGAGAACAATATAATTAAAGAATTTTAGCAAACATAAAGGCAAGAGTAATTCACTCGAAGAAGACAACCAGGAAAGGGAAGTTTCACCATAAAAAACCGAGCATGATTCATGTATTATCTCAAAAGTAATGAACCCACAAAGGGCCCTGAATTATGTTATGGCCAAAGCCATCTCAGGTTTATGATTAGTATCCTTATAGAGATTTCGCTTCAACTTATGCAATTCTTTGGCTAATTCTTTATCCGGATGTGCCTGTCTTGAAAGGGGTTTTTCCAATGAAAGTACCAATATTAAAGCATATGAAACACAGAATCAGTCCGCAACTGCATACGCCATATCAATATTTCCTGAGCTATGAAATCTTGAATGTTTTCGATGGATTCAAAGCTATATATGAGAATGAGGTTATGTTGCTTTCAAATGCAACCCATTCTAATTATATCAGTAGTTTCAGCATAGAAAATGGTTGATTCAACCATCATCCAGGCTTCCCTTATCATCATATTTTTTTATCGGCAAGTACAATGAATGTAGAAGCAAAGAGTTATGGTGGCCGTAAGACAATACAGAAAACAATGATTGATATGGTTCTAGCCATTACCATTAAAATGAAAAAGAAAACTCATTAAC